ATCCCCTGATTCATACCATTCCATCCCACCCCATGTCCCCCCCCCCCCAAACTCCAAGTCCCCATTTCCTATGGAATCCGGAATTCTCCGGTCAAGGTCTGTGGGTCAAAAGCTCGATTGTTTGTCTTCGTTTAATTCCCCCAACGTCCGGTTGTGAATCCGTTGGTCAGTTGCAGCTCAGTGTCGTCCTGTGTTGGACTGGTCAACTTAATGCTCTCAGGCTCGTACAATGATTCTGTCTCAGACCTGCCCTGTCAAAGACCTGCCCTGTCACAGACCTGCCCTGTCACAGACCTGCCCTGTCACAGACCTGCCCTGTCACAGACCTGCCCTGTCAAAGACCTGAATTGTCACGGTCCTACCCTGTCACAGACTTGCCCTGTCACAGACCTGCCCTGACACAGACCTGCCCTGTCACAGACCTGCCCTGTCAAAGACCTGAACTGTCACGGTCCTACCCTGTAACAGACTTAACCTGTTACAGACCTGCCCTGTCACAGACCTGCCCTGTCACAGACCTGCCCTGTCACAGACCTGCCCTGTCACAGACCTGCCCTGTCAAAGACCTGCATTGTCACGGTCCTACCCTGTAACAGACTTGCCCTGTTACAGACCTGCCCTCTGCCCTGTCACAGGCCTGCCCTGTCGAAGACCTGCACTGGCACAGACCTGCCCTGTCACAGACTTACCCTGTCACAGACCTGCCCTGTCACAGACCTGCCCTGTCACAGACCTGCCCTGTCACAGACCTGCCCTGTCACAGACCTGCCCTGTCAAAGACCTGAATTGTCACGGTCCTACCCTGTTACAGACTTGCCCTGTTACAGACCTGCCCTGACACAGATTTGCCCTGACACAGATTTGCCTTGTCATAGAACTGCCCTGACACAGATTTGCCCTGTCATAGACCTGCCTGACACAGATTTGCCCTGTCACAGATTTGCCCTGTCACGGACCTGCCCTGACACAGACCTGCATCAAAACAGACCTGCCCTGTCACAGATTAGCCCTGTCACGGACCTGCCCTGTCACAGACCTGCCCTGACACAGATTTGCCCCGTCAAGGACGTGCCCTTTCAAATACAAACCCCTTCACCATTCCTGTCCCGACAAATATGTTCATCATTTATCAGCTGTCATCTATGGTCTCACGGATGTTCATGAATAATCAACATTGTTCATATGTAATAGTATATCAATATTTTGCTCAAAAGAAAGCGACATTGGGTATCAGCATATTTCCTATAATTATAACTGGTGATGTTTTATTTCCTATGGGAAAACTCAGGTGGTCGGGGGGGGGGGGTCATATTACTGAACTTTGACATTCTGATACAGTTGTAAGGCAGACGTAGTCTCCAGCCGTGTTCACTTTATCATTTTCATCTCATTTATTAATCAGCCCCAACACATCGGCGTCATCGGATTATAGGAAGTAGATGGCATCTTAACAAATGTTGCCCCATGTTTAAACTGGGGCAGCTGCAGAGACGACGGTCGGTTCTATAGTTGTTGTTGTTTTTTTTAAAGTATGCATTCCTGTTCGTGTGTTTGGAATCATGCCATGAATACGGTTGTAAAGAATTATAATAATTTGTAACCACACCGCAAAACAAAAAACTTGGTCAAACGACGTCTGGTCATTTAACTAATCATAATGTTCTCCTTTCCTTTCTCTGCAGACGGGACGTCAGCGAAAGCACTGGGTCTAGATGAAAACTACTGGTCTCTGACAAATGAAGTTGGCAAAAGAAATTGTAAGTTATCTTAAGTATATGATGTCACACGTTCAAACGACAGACACCAAAGTGGTTGATGTTACACGTTGACACGACAGACAACAAGGTGGTTGATGTCACACGTTGGCATGACAGCCAACAAAGTGGTTGATGTAACACGTTGATGTGACAGACGACAACGTGGTTGATGTAACACGTTGACGTGACAGACAACAAAGTGGTTGATGTAACACGTTGGCATGACAGACAACAACGTGGTTGATGTCACACGTTGACATGACAGACAACAAAATGGTTGATGTCACACGTTGACATGACTGACATTTACAAAATGTGAGTGTCTTAAAAAGTCTTATGTGACAACCGTATGTGAGTGTCATTTGTGAGTATCTTATGTGATTGTCGTATGTCAGTGTCTTATTGGTGTCTAGTAAATATTTATTTGAATAGACCTACAGAAACTGCAATCTACAAATGTTTGTCATTCAACTCTCATGCAATCGTTTGGAATAACAAGTAATGATATTTAGGAATAACAAGTAATGACATTAAGGAATGACAAGTAATGACATTCAGGAATAAAAATTAATGAAATTTAGGAATAAAAAGTAATGACATTTAGGAATACCAAGTGATGAATTTAGGAATACCAAGTAATGACATTTAGAAAGGACAAGTACTGACATTTACGAATAACAAGTAAGGACATTTAGGAATGACAAGTAATTACATTGAGGAATGACAAGTAATGACATTTAGGAATAACAAGTAAGGACATTTAGGAATAACAAGTAATGCCATTTAGGAATAACAAGAAAAGACATTTAGGAATAAGAAGTAATGGCATTTAGGAATAACAAGTAATGACATTTAGGAATGACAAGTAATAACAATCACGAATAACAAGTAATGACATTTAGGAATAACAAGTAATGACATTTAGGAATAACAAGTAATGACATTTAGGAATAACAAGAAAAGACATTTAGGAATAAGAAGTAATGGCATTTAGGAATAACAAGTAATGACATTTAGGAATGACAAGTAATAACAATCACGAATAACAAGTAATGACATTTAGGAATAACAAGTAATGACATTTAGGAATAACAAGTAAGAACATTTAGGAATAAGAAGTAATTACATTTAGGAATAACAAGTAATGACATTTAGGAATAACAAGTAAGAACATTTAGGAATAAGAAGTAATTACATTTAGGAATAACAAGGAATGACATTTTGGAATAACAGGGTATGGCCATTAGGAATAGAAGAAGAGCAGTTCCATTATCTGTACTCACACATTCCACTGATCACTTGTCGGCCAGCCTCAGGTCTGACAACTCTTTTTGAAACACGTTGAGAATGTGTGTTGCACAATGACATAAGACCAGCAATTCTCCTCTCCCCCCCCCCACCCTCCATCAGGACTGGTCATCTCTTTCGCCCATCTTCGTTTTCTTAAGAAGTCCTTGACCCTAAAAGGATTCTGTCTTCAATTCAATTTTCTCAAATGACTCAATTTAAAGAACTCTCTCTCTCTCTCTCTCTCTCTCTCTCTCTCTCTCTCTCTCTCTCTCTCTCTCTCTCTCTCTCTCTTTTCCTCTCTCTCTTTCTCTCTCTCTCTCTCTCTCTCTCTTTTAGAGAGAGAGAGAGAGACTCTCTCTCTCTCTCTCTCTCTCTCTCTCTCTCTCTCTCTCTCTCTGTATTTCACGATCTCTGTTTATCTCTCTCTCTCTCTTTCTCTATTTCTCTTTCTCTCTCTCTATCTCTCTCTTTTCTCTATTTCTCCCTCTCTCTATTTCTCTCTCTCTATAGCTCGCTCTTTCTCTCTCTCTTTCTCTATTCCTCTCTCTCTCTCTCTATCTCTCTATCGCTCTCTCTGTCTCCCTCTCTCAATCTGTCGCTCTTATTTTATTTATTTCTCCCTGTCTCACACAAACTCTTCCTGTCCTTTTATCTCTCCCTCTCTCTTTCTTACTCCCTGTCTAACGCACAGTATTCCTGTTGCTATATCTCTCGCTCTCACCATCTCTCTCTCTCCCTCACTCTCTCTCCTTCTCTCCTCTTTTACTCCCTGTCTAACTCACAGTCTACCTGTCACGATATCTACCTCTCTCTCTGCCTCTGTCTCTCTCCCTCTGTCTCTATAACTCTGTCTCCTTCTCTCTGTCACAAACACACACACACTATGTCACTTTCTACACCTGTCTATCATTTCTCTTTGAAATGTTAAAAAACCCAATTTTTTTTTACCTATCTCTTTATTTTTTGTTTACATCCCAAAACTCTTTGTGTTCATTCAACTCTATACATTTCAATCGCTTTATAACAGGTTTTTAACATAAACAGATTCCTTTTCTTTTCTTGAATGTTTCAATTGCAAACATTTCCATGTTTTTATGAGTAGCCGCTGACGTCATCACATGACATGGGTCACATGATTTCCTTTCGACTTCAGTTCGGCGAGAATGGATGCTAGTCATGAAATGAACAGACTGTTTTAGCATCTACCTGATATTAGAAGGAAAAAAAAAACAAGCCATTTTGCCCCAGATGAAAACAAAAACTGTACTCACTGCAAAACCAACAACTGTACTCACTGTACAGCCATCAACAGCTGTACTCACTGTACAATCATCAACAGCTGTACTCACTGTACAACCATCAACAGCTGTACTCACTGTACAACCATCAACTGTTTTTACATTACAAGAAAGAGAAGATATACAAGTTGCTGTAAATGTGGCTTTGGATTTATATAAGAGACATTCATGAACTTAGGCAATTGAACTTATATAAGAGACGTTCATGAACTTAGGCAATTGAACTTATATTAGAGACGTTCATGAACTTAGGCAATTGAACTTATATTAGAGACGTTCATGAACTTAGGCAATTGAACTTATGTAAGAGACGTTCATGAACTTAGGCAATTGAAATTATATTAGAGAGTTCATGAACTAAGGCAATTGAACTTATATTAGAGACGTTCATGAACTTAGGAAATTGAACTTATATAAGAGACGTTCATGAACTTAGGCAATTGAACTTATATAAGAGACGTTCATGAACTTAGGCAATTGAACTTATATTAGAGACGTTCATGAACTTAGGCAATTGAACTTATATTAGAGACGTTCATGAACTTAGGCAATTGAACTTATGTAAGAGACGTTCATGAACTTAGGCAATTGAAATTATATTAAAGACGTTCATGAACTTAGACAATTGAACTTATATAAGAGACGTTCATGAACTTAGGCAATTGAACTTATATAAGAGATGTTCATGAACTTAGGCAATTGAACTTATATAAGAGACGTTCATGAACTTAGGCAATTGAAATTATATTAGAGACCTTCGTGAACTTATACAATTGAACTTATATTAGAGACGTTCATGAACTTAGGCAATTGAACTTATATAAGAGACGTTCATGAACTTAGGCAATTGAACTTATATTAGAGACGTTCATGAACTTAGGCAATTGAAATTATATTAGAGAGTTCATGAACTAAGGCAATTGAACTTATATTAGAGACGTTCATGAACTTAGGAAATTGAACTTATATAAGAGACGTTCATGAACTTAGGCAATTGAACTTATATAAGAGACGTTCATGAACTTAGGCAATTGAACTTATATTAGAGACGTTCATGAACTTAGGCAATTGAACTTATATTAGAGACGTTCATGAACTTAGGCAATTGAACTTATGTTAGAGACGTTCATGAACTTAGGAAATTGAACTTATATTAGAAACGTTCATGAACTTATGCAATAAAACTTGCAATCGACATGTTTACAATTTTTATTTCAGCTTGGTGGAGTAAAAAGTCCTTGGAGTCTGCGCCAGATTACCAGCGACTTCTCAAAGGTAGGAGTGTCACTCAATGATGACTGGGGCAAATGTCCAAATGCCCCACTTTAGACTGTCACTATATTTTATTATTTGTCAAATATCTAATTTAAGGTGGTCACTAAATAATCACTGTGGCAAATTTCGATCTAATAACTGTAACAATATGTCATTTATAATATCTATATTTGTTATTCACAACATCACATGTTTACATTTCAGACTTGTAAATGTGTATATTTCAGACCTGTACATGTATCTATTTCAGAAGCCACATACAGAGATGCGTCACTAGACTCACCTTCTGCTGCCGAGAGTGAGACAGAGGATAACATTTCATCTCTATACAGTGAGTCGTTTACTTTATGAGATAGCCGGCATTCGTAGACACACCCTAGTAGCAATATCACGATATGTTAACAATTTTTAACAGACGTTTCTCTAAATGACTACGTCTGTAGAGTTGATCACATTGTCTGTGTATTTCATGACCTGCAAGGGGTGACGTCAGTATGTATTAGAATTGACTCGTGAGGGCGAAGCAAAAATAAGTGGGGCTAAGAAGGACGAAGCAAGTAATGTGGGATAAGCCGGGCGAAGCAAAGTAAGTGGGGCTAAGAAGGACGAAGGAAGTAAGGTGGGAATAGCAGGGCGAAGCAAAGTAAGTTGGGCTTAGAAGGACGAAGCAAGGAAGGTGGGATAAGCTGGGCGAAGCAAAGTAAGTGGGGCTTAGAAGGACGAAGCAAGGAAGGTGGGATAAGCTGGGCTAAGGTTTCTGTCCGGGTCGTGGTATTATGAGACCATTCGCGGTGAGTGAGGGTCCACGTTATTTGAGACCACTTAAGTCAGGAACTATCTGCAGATAAAAAGAAATGTGAGTGTATATGAGGACACGTGACTACTGCACGTGAGAAACTATTATCGATCACTAACTGCACTTATACAACTACCAACAATCGCAATTGTATCAAATCGGCACGCTTCATACGACAAATAGCTAATTACCTTAACACAAACCCAGGAGTCCCCAGACTTTTCAAACACGGGCCGGATTAGTTTCCCTCAGACCCTGACTATGGTTTGAAAAATATAGGTACGTATTTTATGCACAGTGTATATAAATCAATTCTATGCACACTGTACATATTTCATTTGTAGTGAAAATTACTTCTTGAAAATAAGAACATATTTAAAATGAAGAAACCATATAACAAACATAAACTTAATAGTATTTCAAAGGGAAGCAAGGCTAATGAGATGATCAATGTCCGGTTTCATATTTGACGCTGCTAGATTTAGTCCCCTTACGGTGGCCAGGCGGACCGGATTAATGACCCTGGCTGGCCGGATGTGGCCCGTGGGGCGTAGTTTTGGGACCCCTGCCCTAACCCATAAACCCATCCCGGGTGGATGGAACTAGTTAAATTTGGAATGCAACTCATCTAAGAGAATGGAAACTCTCAATTCAAAACCCGGAGATGGAGTCCCGTAGGCGGATAACATTGACACGATGAATATTCTGGCAACTCCTACGACGCCACCGGTGCCAAACTATATCATCCACACACGATGTTCCCTTGGGATATCCAGGCGCGTGGAGAGAGGCGATTGGCTGTCTAGGGAACCAGCTTATCATCCTAACGAAAAATCCCGGGCCTTGTGATTTCGTCCTACGAAGTCCACACTATCGTCAGATCGTGACAGACTGACGGACGGACGGACGGACGGGCTGACGGACGGACTGATGGACGGACTGACGGACGGACTGACTGGCGGACGGACGGACGGACTGACTGACGGACAGACTGACGGACAGACTGACGGACAGACTGACGGACTGACGGACTGACGGACGGATGTCAGTAACGAAAAAAAAACACAACAAAAAAACGAGCATTTGCAGAGCCTTGACATGTGCGTGGTTGACATGTGCGTGGTTGACATGTGTGTGGTTGACATGTGCGTGGTTGACATGTGCCTGGTTGACATATGCGTGGTTGACATGAGCGTGGTTGACATGTGCGTGGTTGACATGTGCGTGGTTGACATGAGCGTGGTTGACATGTGCGTGGTTGATATGTGCGTGGTTGGCATTTGCGTGGTTGACATGTGCGTGGTTGACATGTGCGTGGTTGACATGTGCGTGGTTGACATGTGCGTGGTTGACATGTGCGTGGTTGACATGTGCGTGGTTGACATGTGCGTGGTTGACATGTGCGTGGTATGTGCGTGGTTGAGATGTGCGTGGTTGACATGTGCGTGGTTGACATGTGCGTGGTTGACATGTGCGTGGTTGACATGTGCGTGGTTGATATGTGCGTGGTTGGCATGTGCGTGGTTGACATGTGCGTGGTTGAGATGTGCGTGGTTGACATGTGCGTGGTTGAGATATGCGTGGTTGACATGTGCGTGGCACATCCGGGTTGGCAGTAGTTTTACCAACGTTTGACGCATGTAATATTTTTTAAGATTTTTAAATCACTATTTATGTCATCGTTGTGACGTCACCATGGGAGCTTGGCCTCACTTCCGTCCCCATTCCCTCACTATTTTAGCACCCCACCCTGTTTACTTTCTCTGTTCCGCCCCTGGCACGGTGTAGATGAAAGCTACGTGAAAGTATCGACCTGACCGACTCTGGGGCCAGGACTAATTGAATGAACTTTATAAACTGCCCTGTGTTTCAACCAATCAAATCTCTTTATGTGTTCCCATTAACCACTCTTAACATAGTTTGCTTTCATGCACTCTTGATGTACTATTGACAAGTTTGCATTGAGTTCTTGGTGTACTATTGACAAGTTTACATTGAGGTCTTGATGTACTATTGACAAGTTTACATTGAGGTCTTGGTGTACTATTGACAAGTTTACATTGAGGTCTTTATGTACTATTGACAAGTTTGCATTGAGGTCTTGGTGTACTATTGACAAGTTTACATTGAGGTCTTGATGTACTATTGACAAGTTTACATTGAGATCTTGCTGTAAGGCTGACAAGTATTGACACGCAAACTATATGCAAACAATATAACAAAGCTACATCCAGACAATAGAACCAAACAGCCGGACATTATAATAAAACAACTTCCAGACAATAGAACCAAACAGCCGGACATTATAATAAAACAACTTCCAGACAATAGAACCAAACAGCCGGACATTATAATAAAACAACTTACAGACAATAGAACCAAACAGCCGGACATTATAATAAAATACCAGACAATAGAACCAAACAGCCAGACATTATAATAAACCAAGTAGGTCTGTTATCTTGGTTTGTCGGCCTGTAATATTATTTGGTTGTTCCAGACAATAGAACCAAACAGCCGGACATTATAATAAACCAACATCCAGACAATAGAACCAAACAGCCGGACATTATAATAAACCAACATCCAGACAATAGAACCAAACAGCCGGACATTATAAACTCATATCTCACCTGACCCACCAAATCCCCCAAAACATCAAGTACCGGTCAGTGTTATGTGATTTGGTCGATCAATCCAACTCTCAAAGCAAAACATGATAATGGTCCATATTTACATATCAGCTCTCTTACAAATCTCATAATGCGTAAATGTCAGCTCTCTTACAGTTCTCGTGATGAGTTACTAGCAGCTCTCTAACAAATCTCATAATGAGTTGGTATCAGCCAGCAGATCGCGTGAGTTAGCATCAGTTCTCTAAACAAATCTCTTAATCGGTTGTTAACGTCAGCCCTCTAACAAACAAATGACATTTTTGCACAGCAGCGGCCAACTCAATGAAAGAGGATCGCCCCCCCCCCCCTTGTTCTTGCAGAAATGCTTGGGTGTTCTGGGGTTTCTCAAATGTCTGAAGAAACCAATATTTTGAGTTGTGTTGTTATCTCTATAAACATTCATTTGATATTACCAATGCAATGCTTCCAAGATTTCTTAAGACCACTGATCCCTGAGGCAACCCGACGCTCAAACCCCACCCCCGGGGTCCCCCCCCCCCACGCCCGGTCCCCATCCCACCGCATGTAGTATTGAAAAATAATAATTGATGAGCCGTTATTAAAACGTTGCCGTAAAAGAAAATGGTTGCCGTCAATAAGGGAGCGAATCACTTGACGACAAACACGCCACAAATCTTCTTTTAATCCTTTTAGTTCTGTGAGAGAGAAAATGTGACGTCATAAAGTTTTCGGCTCAACTTGGACCTTCCAACGATTTCTTGATGACCTCTTACCTTCCAACGTCCTCTGGAACACCTCTTACTTCCCAACTTCCTCTTGAAGACCTCTTGACTTCAAACGTCCTCTTGAAGACCTCTTGACTTCAAACGTCCTCTTGAAAACCTCTTACCTTCCAACGTCCTCTTGAAGACCTCTTAACTTCCAACGTCCACTTGTAGACCTTGTACCTTCCAGCGTCCTCTTGAAGACCTCTTACCTTCCAACGTTCTCTTGATGATCTCTTACTTCCAAAAAAGTCCTCTTCAAGACCTCTTACCCTTCAACGACAAGTCCCTCGCCCCTCCCCCCCCCCACACACACACACTCCAAAGATAAACATATTAAAAATAAAAAGTTATAATAATCTTTCGGTAATTGTGTCAAAACATTAATCTAATCCAGACCTGCACAGCATGCATGCGGCCTGCGGGCTGCATGCGGCCTGCCAGCACCCACTTTTGCGGCCCGCGAAGTACGAAATATTTTTTTTTTCGTATTATTTTTTCTTAATAGCTTTTCCCCCTGTCCTATTTTGTTTCGACCTGCATAAGTTTTTCATAAAGTATTACGGCCCGCCTTACAAATTGAGTTGTGCAGGTCTGATCTAGGCGGATTATAAAATCTGGTCTAGAGGCCGACTCAGCGTCCTCCTTAATTAAGTTGTTATATTATAAAACATTTGCCAATTTACAACAATTTTTACAATTTATCATAAATGAAATGTCCATATAGAACACTTTATACAATATTTCATAAAAATAAGTGTCAATTTACAAAATTGTATACAATGTATCATAAAACAAGTGTCAATTTACAACACTTTATACTATTTTTAATAAAAAAAACAAAGGGTTAATTTACAACACTTTATACAATGTTTCAGTAAACAAGGGTCAATTAACAACACTTTATACAGTATTTCATAAAAAGTGTAAATTTTTCAACTTGATACAATGTATCATAAAACAAGTGTCAATTTTTCAACTTGATACAATGTATCATAAAACAAGTGTCAATTTTTCAACTTGATACAATGTATCATAAAACAAGTGTCAATTTGTCAACTTGATACAATGTATCATAAAACAAGTGTCAATTTTTCAACTTGATACAATGTATCATAAAACAAGTGTCAATTTTTCAACTTGATACAATGTATCATAAAACAAGTGTCAATTTGTCAACTTGATACAATGTATCATAAAACAAGTGTCAATTTTTCAACTTGATACAATGTATCATAAAACAAGTGTTCATTTACAATATCTTATTTAATGAACCATTCATAAATCAAGTGCTAAACATGCGCACAGTGTTAGTCCAGGTGTAAGCGTCACTGGACGGTCTATAATCTCATTGAGCAGTTTCTACACAGTTATAAGTTCTAAATCCAGGGTTGCCTATGTCTGACCCCCTAAAAGCTGTCTGCCATTGATTGAAGCGCCTGTCATTTGACCGACGGTTCTAATTGAATCTTTGTTTTCCATAATATAATGGCGAGGAAAAAAAAAATGTCATTACAATTTTTGTTACACCTATCAGCCATGGAGACTCAAGTCAAATGTGTCATGTGATGCCATGTGATGCCATGTGATGCCATGTGATGCCATGGGATGCCATGGGATGCCATGTGATACCATGGGATGCCATGTGATGCCATGTGATGCCATGTGATGCCATGTGATGCCATGGGATGCCATGTGATGCCATGGGATGCAATGTGATGCCATGTGATGCCATGGGATGCTATTGTATGTTATGTCATGTGATGCAATGTTATGTCATGTTATGCCATGTGATGCCATGGGATGCCATGTGATGCCATGGGATGCAATGTGATGCCATGTGATGCCATGGGATGCAATGTGATGCCATGTGATGCCATGTGATGCCATGTGATGCCATGGGATGCAATGTGATGCCATGTGATGCCATGGGATCTCTTAAATTTAAGTACAAACCGGTATTACTATTAAAACTCAAACGTTATTGGAAGTTTTTGTGTGCTATCCACGATATCCATAACAATGCCCCCACCCCCGCAGATTTGGCGTTTTTTGTAGGCTATCCACGATATGGATTGTCACAAACCAGTCCAAAATAAATAAAAAAAATTTTAAATCTGAAAATGAGAAGATGAACAGTTTGTCTACCAACTCTATAAAACTCAGTGCGACTATGTGACTACTTAGTTTGTTGATGGAGCGATCAATCGCAAGACCGAACAACGGATCGCATCCAAATTTGACACGGTCATTCCTCCCGTTCCACTGATGGTACCTGCAAGGTTTGGTCACAATCCCCTAATCACAAAAGCTGTCATTTGGAAAATAGTCAAACGTAGAGGGTAGAGAGTAAAAGAAAAAAAAAATTTTTTTTGAACGGCTTCCAGGGACGATCACGTTAAGTTATGTGTGGTGAACGTGTTTGTTTGTTTGTTTGTTTGTTTGTTTGTTTGTTTGTTTGTTTGTTTGTTTGTTAACTTTTATTTAGGGCGGTGCGCTTTCAAACTTCTTTTAAAGGAAAAGTTTTCGGTGCGCTTTCGTTTGGTACACTCATTATATATGTATAAGGATGAGCTAGGCTGACGATGCAACGCTAAAGAAACCAGTTCATTTAGATACGTTCGGATTTTTACAAACAATGTTAGTGATTTTCTATTATTTTTCAAAAATCGAATAATTTTAAATGCGCCAAAAATAAAATTTTATTTTAGTTTTAACTTCAGTATATGTTTAAGCATTATCATTTTAAATTGCAAATACATAAAAAAATAACAATTAAACAGTTATTTTAAGCATTTTATCGGAATTTGAACTTTATGATCTTTTCATCAATAAATTGTGATACAAGAATTATTTTTATTAAATTATAATCACACTTATCGGGAAAAAAACCAAACATCTGTTGTTTTTTTTTAGTTTCTTGCTAATTTTGCGAAATCAAATGAAAAATAATTTGATCTAAATATTTTCAAACAATGTCAAATTAAAATTTTCGATTGAACTCAAATTTTAAAAAAAAAACTAATTAATTTCATTGCAACAAAATTTAAACTTTTTCTTTTCGGCTGTGCCAAGCTTTGAATATTAACTAAAACGGGATCGTCGGGCATATATTCAATGTTTACTGTTCCAAAAAGTCTATTATTATAAATATTGCTTTTTATATGAGGAAATTGATAATGTAGCCAAGTGTTTTTAACAGGGCCCCACTTTTACGTGTAAGCTGATAATGCTTTCGAGTTATTTATTTTTTTCAGAATAGAAAGACGAGCAAAAACGGGTATATTGGCTAGTGAATAATATTCTTGAGACAATCTGGCCACTCATAGGCCTAACTATTGAAAGAAGAAACATTTTATTGTCTTATTTATTAGCCAATCGGTGGAGAGAAAATTTTGAAGAGTGCACACTGTGTCTTCCAATAACGCCTCATCGTATTACGTTTCATAAATTTGTTTTGTTTCATGTATTTTGGTGCAATTAGTTTTTTTAAAACCTTTTTTATGTTTTATTAACAGGCGAACAAATGTTACTCGAGAAACGATTTTTACAGTTGTTTTACCCATAAGTTAATCTAATCCTATATATAAATATATATATATTAATTTTTTGGTCATTAGGAGAAGAAACAATATACGTACACAATTTTAATGTAACAATTTTTTTTATAAAATAATGTTGTAATCAAAATTAAAGTGTCTAGTGTTATGCGGGGGTCAAGAGGGGGGGGGGCAATTTTATTTCTGACTGTGTCGATGGACTTCAATTGTTTGCATTTAATATATCTGACTGGTTTGATTGACTTCAATGGTTGGCATTTAATTTATCTGACTGTGTTGATTAACTTGAATGGTTGGCATTTAATATATCTGACTGGGTTGATTGACTTCAATGGTTGGCATGAAATACATCTGACTGGGTTGATGGACTTCAATGGTTGGCATGAAATATATCTTACTGGGTTGATGGACTTCAATGGTTGGCATGAAATATATCTTACTGGGTTGATGGACTTCAATAGTTGGCATGAAATACATCTGACTGGGTTGATGGACTTCAATGGTTGGCATGAAATATATCTGACTGGGTTGATGGACTTCAAAATCAATGGTTGACATTTAATATATCTGACTGTGATTAAATGGTTCCAAGGGTTGATGTTAATATCTGAAACTATTTGTCAAATGATCAACCGATGAATTAATCTGACTGGGTTGATTGAATTCTACAGTCTATACATAACGACGATTGGATGTCAGTGCATCTCACACTATTAATTTTTGACCACTCGATTTAGGTGGACGTTCCTTCGCAATATTGACGACGTTAGCTGTTGAAGAAATTGATTAAGTTGACTCCTGTGCATATGACAAGTCAATTGAAGAATTTAAATTTATAGAGAGAATCTCGTCCCTCTCCCCCGTACACAGTGATGAGGCCACGACAGGCAGTTCCGGCTAATATAAAACAAGAACTCAGTACATGATCTCCTCATTCCTACCAAAGACAATCAGGGGCTGGAACAAGCTTCCAAAAGAAGCAGTTGAGGCGACTACACTCGACACATTTGCGTCTATTGTCTCCTGCCTTCCCACCCGCAGTTCATAATACCATGGCTAAGTCGCCCTTCGCGACCAGTGCAGTATACCCTTCAAAACCCATGCACAGTTACATCGCGACCCCCCTTCCCCCCAAGCATTCGAAGTTATATATATATATATATATATATATATATATATATATATATATATATATATATATATATATATATATATATATTATGAATCAAGCCACGACGCAGCTGAGTTTCTTATGTTCTCCATAAACAAATCGCTTTATTTCCATCAAACTTCAACAGCTAACCCGAAATGAACAACACTTCTTTTGTCTGCCTTCAGCAGTTGCCTGATGTCTGTTATCGTTTCTTTGACTCGTGTTTAACAGATGTTAGATTCACGTGTCGGTATGATACTTGTTTTCCTGACTTCTGTTTGATGCGTGTAAGATGCACGTGTAAGAGTGTGGTCCATGTTTACATCCCTCCCCCTTGATTTTACTATGACGTTTAAAACAGGGAACAAACTAACATATATATTCTGGTTAGGGTCTGAGATTTCTCTCTTATGACCCCGGCTAGTACATTGGCTACCAGCTCCATCTGTTGAGGTCAGCAATATGACATTTTACTCACGAAGGCCTTCCCACCGTCCTGACTTCCCCCGAAATATCTTGTGAGAGCCTTTCGGTCAATAGATACGCTAATGTTTCCGGGACCAGGCTGCAATGACGGCAGGTAGGGTCCTTGTTATTAACTAGCCGCCAGAAGTATTTGCCGATAGGGCAGTGCACTGTGCACATCTGTGTAACTAGACTCTGCTGCCTGCGACGGAACCCCCACCATTGGGTCTTGTCTTAAAAAACAGGGAACTAAACCAAGAGATGTGTTTCTGGAGATGGGCAAGCAAGACAAGATGGCTACGGTAGATGCCTGTACTGCAGGTGGATGTGATTTGAACGGACCCCCATCTGATGGCAGTCTGTTTCGACATCATCCATCTATCTGATGGCAGTGGGTCTCCACATCAGTCATCCATCTGATGGCAGTCTGTCTCCACGTCATTCATCCATCTGATGTCAGTCTGTATCCACATCATTCATCCATCTGATGTCAGTCTGTCTCCACATCATTCATCCATCTGATGTCAGTCTGTATCCACATCATTCATCCATCTGATGTCAGTCTGTCTCCACATCATTCATCCATCTGATGTCAGTCTGTATCCACATCATTCATCCATCTGATGTCAGTCTGTCTCCACATCATTCATCCATCTGATGTCAGTCTGTCTCCACATCATTCATCCATCTGATGTCAGTCTGTCTCCACATCATTCATCCATCTCAGTATTTTTCAGTCGGTGAGGCATCTGTCTCTTGGTTCCGGAAGGCAGTGATTCTCCATCCATCATTATGAGGTACAGCCCCGTATGATTTTGCGATGTTTGTACTGTCCCGGGTATTTAGCCGAGTATTTAGCCGGGTATTCAGCCGAGTTTCAGCCGGGTATTGAGCAGATATTCAGCTTTCTTGTTGAGCGTGGGGATCCCTGTGTTTTGAAAGGCGGAGTCGATTATTTATGTTTCATTTCTTTAGTTTTGGGTACGTTTCAAGATCGTTGAGAAAACAGAGCAGCTAGCCCCCTGGTGGCGCCTTCTCTTTCTTCAGTGGTCCGTTCCGTAGTGTAAGCCGACACAAAGCAACAGAAACATCAACTTCAAAGGTCTAGTTCAGCAAGTTGAAATTAAGCAACCCTTAAAAGCAAAGTTTCTCTTTTCAATCATTTACAGCCATTATTTTATGATATATGAATATTCTAATGTCCCACTCGCTTTTACACCGTAGATTTATTTTACTACTTCATTAAAACAAACGAGAATATGACGCGCCAAACGCGCTTGCAATATTTTTATTTAAAGTATCTCATTTAGCGCAGTTAACAGGAATTTTATTTCGTGAAATCATTGGCATTATATTTCCTATATCTTCCTCTTGAAATACGGTGAAAACTGATTTTTTTTTTTTTTGGGGGGGGGGGGGGGGGGCTTAAAATGTAAAAGAATGTGTTGCTATCGGCATCGAGTGTATGCACCAAGTGTCGGCTCAATAGGTTGACGGGAAGTGGGTCATTTAGCCGTCCATATATTTTGCCAGCCAGACACGAACAAAAGCGAAGTTAATAGAAAGGATTTAAAAATAGTAAACTCAACAGTCAATGTTGCCACGCAGTGAATTTGACAACCTTGTCACTGTCAATATTGGCTCACAGTGAATTTGACAACCCTTTCACTGTCAATATTGGCTCACAGTGAATTTGACATCCCTTTCACTGTCAATATTGGCTCACAGTGAATTTGACAACCCTTTCACTGTCAATATTGGCTCACAGTGAATTTGATATCGCTGTCACTGTCAATATTGGCTCACAGTGAATTTTACATCCCTTTCACTGTCAATATTGGCTCACAGTGAAATTGACAACCCTTTCACTGTCAATATTGGCTCACAGTGAATTTGACAACTCTTTCACTGTCAATATTGGCTCACAGTGAATTTGACATCCCTTTCACTGTCAATATTGGCTCACAGTGAATCTGACATCCCTTTCACTGTCAATATTGGCTCACAGTGAATTTGACAACCCTTTCACTGTCAATATTGGCTCACAGTGAATTTGACAACCCTTTCACTGTCAATATTGGCTCACAGTGAATTTGATATCGCTGTCACTGTCAATATTAGCTCACAGTGAATTTGACAACCCTTTCACTGTCAATATTGGCTCACAGTGAATTTGACATCCCTTTCACTGTCAATATTGGCTCACAGTGAATTTGACATCCCTGTCACTGTCAATATTGGCTCACAGTGAATTTGACACATCTCTTTCACATTCAATGTTGACACACAGTGAATTAGACATCGCTTCCATGGTCCCTGTTGACATACAGTGTATTAGACATCTCTTTCACCGTTAATATTGACACACAGTGAATTAAACAAACTTAAACGGACCAACCTGATATCTTGTTAAAGAATATAAACCAATTTTTTTCTTCTTAGCCATCCTACCCCTAGAATTGCATCACTGTAGCTAAGATACCATAACCCCCTCAAAATCCATTCCATACTTCTGCTTTTTATTGAAAGACGCTCCACATATAAAGCAGACACATAATAGTATACACATATTTTTCGGTGCCCAGACATATAAATTAAACATAGTGTATTCCGTGTAGCTTTTTGTTTAAGATGACTTGATAGACTGCACTGGTAGATCCCCACATAACAGTGTGGAGGTGATTGGCCGTCGGGGAATCCCAGATGATATCCAGACATCCGCCGTGGAATTGAAATGATTGCCAGTCTCGGCAGCTTCGCGAGCTGTGGTGGGGCAGGGAGATATAGGCCAGGAAAAGACACACGAGTCGCTTCACCTTTGGCTGATGAACCACCACACGAGTCGTGTCGGTGACGCTTACACCACTGCAGACTTGGCGGGGGGAATAAAGAGACCGGGCCCAGACAGCTTGACCAGAGTGGACGGTTTCGTGTCACGTTTTGAGTACGGGTGTTAGAACAAACGTTTCTGTGAATGATACACGGCGTGGCTTCAAGGACACAGACCTTTGCTGTAAGGACACACAGGTTAGCTGTAAGGACACACATTTTGGCTGTAAGGACACACAGCGTGGCTTCAACGACACAGACCTTTGATGTAAGGATACATAGGTTAGGTGTAAGGAGTCACACCTTGGCTGTAAGGACATACAGTTTGGCTGCAAGGACACACAACTTAGCTGTAAGGACACACATCTTGGCTGTAAGGACACACAGCGTGGCTTAAACGACACAGACCTTTGATGTAAGGATACATAGGTTAGGTGTAAGGACTCACAACTTGGCTGTAAGGATATACAGTTTGGCTGCAATGACACACAACTTAGCGGTGAGAACACACAAATTAGCTGTAAGGACACACAGCTTAGCTGTAAGGACACACAACTTAGCTGTAAGGACACACAACTTAGCGGTGAGAACACACAACTTAGCTGTAAGGACACGCAACTTACCTGTAAGGACACACAACTTAGCTGTAAGGACACAATTTAGCTGTAAGGAAACACAACTTAGCTGCAATGACACACAACTTAGCGGTGAGAACACACAAATTAGCTGTAAGGACACACAACTTAGCCGTAAGGACACACAACACAACTTAGCCGTAACGATACACAACTTGGCTGTAAGGAGGCACACTCTGATGGACGCATCATGCTTAGACGTAAGGAGAAGCAGCTTAGTTTCCAGGACATATATACAGGCATATAGTCAGGCATAACGATAGACATAAATATAGTTATCAAGATAGACAAAAAGATAGACAAAAAGATAGAAATAAAGATAGAATTAAAGATAGGCATAAAGATAATCATAAATATTGACATCAAGATACACATAAAGATTGAAATAAAGATAGAATTCCTTTAGATGTCATATTGAAGTGACCAACTTTTCTCAACTCTGAATTTTCTTCATCTTAGTATTGGTTTTGAATACAGGTGTCATCATCCAAGCTTGAGCCTTTAATCTGTTCACAGGAAATACAAGCAAATAATAGTAGACATTATAAGCTGTACATTTACGGCTTATAAATACATTGCAGGTTTATCCATACAATATGCCTTATGAAATAGCTGTTAGATATGGATTATTGAACAATTCTGAAGTACTCCCACACAGTTCATAACTATAACACTGTTTCAACTCACTTCACTTTTACAAACTGGCCCCCACTCTACGCAAGGCTAACTAAGAAATAGGTGTGTACTATGATCTTTTACAAACTGACAGCTACACAAAACAAGTCTAGCTAAGGAATAAGTGTATTCTATGATCTTTTACAAACTGAGAGCTACACAAAAAGGGCCTAACTAAGGAATAAGTATATTCTATGATCTTTTACAAACTGACAGCTAAACAAAAAGGGCCTAATTAAGGAATACGTGTATTCTATGATCTTTTACAAACTGACAGCTACACAAAAAGGGCCTAACTAAGGAATACGTGTAATCTATGATCTTTTACAAACTGACAGCTACACAAAAAGGGCCTAACTAAGGAATACGTGTATTCTATGATCTTTTACAAACTGACAGCTACACAAAAAGGGCCTAACTAAGGAATACGTGTATTCTATGATCTTTTACAAACTGACAGCTACACAAAAAGGGCCTAACTAAGGAATACGTGTATTCTATGATCTTTTACAAACTGACAGCTACACAAAAAGGGCCTAACTAAGGAATACGTGTATTCTATGATCTTTTACAAACTGACAGCTACACAAAAAGGGCCTAACTAAGGAATACGTGTATTCTATGATCTTTTACAAACTGACAGCTACACAAAAAGGGCCTAACTAAGGAATACGTGTATTNGGGGGGGGGGGGGGGTATAATTGTTGACAATATTTTGTCATGATTAATTTTAAATATAGGAAGTATAGAGAAACATTTGCATTCCTTGTTGCTGGACTCCAATAAAAACTGTTTTGTCGGCATCCGTCACAATGTGACGATGGTGTGGACTTCGCAGGACGGACTCCACAAGGCCTGGGACTGTTCTTCTATGATTATAAGCTTGTTCCCAACAGCAAATCGCCTCTCTTCACGCAGCTTTTTAGACCCAAGGGAACATCATACGTGGATGATACGTTTTGGCACCAGTGGCGTCGCCGGAGTTGTCGGAATGTTCCATTGTACTAATGTTATTATTAATTTTCATATCACTTAAATGTTGTTGGTTTTTTCCAAGTTTTTTTTTTTTTTTTTTCGCATGCAATTCCGGGCAACGCCATACAGAGATACAGTACTTCCGGTTGTCAACAAGATGGCAGATTTGCACATTTGCGTGTACAGAAATTGATTTAAAAAGCGAGAAAGCGCTGAATAAATATTGATATAAATATATAAAATCAATGCGGGAAGCTAGGGTAAGACTACGGGAGTAAACCCAAACTGTAAAATCCGGAGATGGAGTCCGGAAGTCGATCTGACGCAGATACCCATGTCATTTCGGCCACTCCTGCGACGCAGTTAGTGCCACGTTGTATTGACAGTTGTCATTCCCTTGGATGCACCGGCTGGCGTTGGTGTGTGTTGATCTGCTGCATTGGGCAACAGGTGGTCTCCATAAATCACACCGCCCAGGCTAAGTCGCTGCACCTGTGACGTCCCTTCACGAGGAGCAGAGCTGTTAGGTAAAGCAAGGAAGGTGTTTAGAAGGAAGACTCCGCCACTTCGCCTCGCAACATGGAATGTGAGCAAAAGGGTACAAAGTGCTCGAAACGAAGCTCTTGCAACAAAAAGAGCGATACGGGAGGCCTAATCTATCCAGGAGGCCTAATCTATCCAGGAGGCCTAATCTATCCAGGAGCCTAGTGATCCATTTGTTGAAGCGTACACACGTATGCTTAACACATGAGTTTCATAAGCAAATTGATTGGATCAGTGTGCCCCCCCCCCCACCCCCACTTGTCTTTGTCTCCTCATTAGTGAGTTGGTGTTCATCACGTAGATAGATCGTTCTAGCCCTCATCAGTGTTCAACTCAATTATTGCACGACTTTAGCGTGTTTTTTGCCATTGATTTCGTGGAGCGCGGTAATCTGGTGTGAGGACCCTCGTGTCATTTAACAACTAGGTTAAAAGTGTCAGAATTCTTGCATGAGAAGAGATGGGAAGTAACTTAGGATGGTATTTGATGAAGTAAAAGGGATTATGAGAAACTGAATTGTTTGAAAGTTGGTCGGTTAAATGGTTGGTCGGTGAAATGGTTAGTCGGTGAAATAGTTGTTCGGTGAAATAGTTGTTCGATGAAATAGCTGGTCGGTTAAATGGTTGGTCGGCGAAATGGTTAGTCGGTGACATAGTTGATCGGTGAAATAGTTGTTCGGTGAAATAATTGTTCGGTGAAATAGTTGTTCGGTGAAATAATTGTTCGGTGAAATAGTTGTTCGGTGAAATAGCTGGTCGGTGTAATCGTTGGTCGGCGAAATAACTGGTCGGTTAAATGGTTGGACGGCGAAATGGTTAGTCGGTGAAATAGTTGATCGGTGAAATAGTTGTTCGGTGAAATAGTTGTTCGGTGAAATAGCTGGTCGGTGTAATGGTTGTTCGGTGAAATAACTGGTCGGTGTAACGGTTGGTCGGTGAAATAACTGGTTGGTGGAACGGTTGGTCGGTGAAATAACTGGTCGGTGTAACGGTTGGTCGGTGAAATAACTGGTCGGTGTAATGGTTGGTAAGTGAAATAGCTGGTCGGTGTAATGGTTGGTCGGTGAAATAGCTGGTCGGTGTAATGGTTGGTCGGTGAAATAGCTGGTCGATGTAATGGTTGGTTGGTGAAATAGCTGGTCGGTGTAATGGTTGGTTGGTGAAATAGCTGATCGGTGTAATGGTTGGTCGGTGAAATAGCTGGTCGGTGTAACGGTTGGTCGGTGAAATAGCTGATCGGTTAACTAGTTGGTCGGTAAAGTAGTTGGTTGGTGAAGTAGTTGGTCGGTGAACTAGTTGGTTGGTGAACTAGTTGGTTGGTGAACTAGTTGGTCGGTAAAGTAGTTGGTTGGTGAACTAGTCGGTTGGTGAACTAGTTGGTCGGTGAACTAGTTGGTCGGTGAACTAGTTGGTTGGTGAACTAGTTGGTCGGTAAATTAGTTGGTTGGTGAACTAGTTGGTTGGTGAACTAGTTGGTTGGTGAACTGGTTGGTCGGTAAAGTAGTTGGTTGGTGAACTAGTTGGTTGGTGAACTAGTTGGTTGGTGAACTGGTTGGTCGGTAAAGTAGTTGGTTGGTGAGAAGGTTATAAAGGTGAGAAAGCGTTGTGGCACACAAGATATCGAAGTTACATGATGAGGTGTGATTGAGGGAATGGGACAAAGATAAGCAGAAGAAGAGGGTGATGGGTTGGTACAAGGATAGAGAGAAGTGGGCGAGGGAATAAGAGAAACATAAGGAGAAGAATTTAGTGAGAGGTTGATAGGAGAATAAGGAGAAGAGGGGAACACGTTATTGCAGGAGTGAATGCAAGATAGAGAAGAGTCCATGATGGGGACATATTATTATGTTTGAGTTTATAAAAGGAACTGCCTCACCGGTCATACGGCGGGACTACCTCATCAATCATATGGCGGGACTAACTCACAAATGATATGGGGGGACTACCTCACCAATCATATGGCGGGACTACCTCACAAATGATATGGCGGGACTACCTCACAAATGATATGGCGGGACTACCTCACAAATGATATGGCGGGACTAACTCGCAAATGATATGGGGGGACTACCTCACCAATCATATGGCGGGACTACCTCACAAATGATATGGCGGGACTACCTTACAAATGATATGTTGGCGGGACTACCTCACAAATGATATGGCGGGACTACCTCACAAATGATATGGCGGGACTAACTCGCAAATGATATGGGGGGACTACCTCACCAATGATATGGCGGGACTACCTCACAAATGATATGGCGGGACTACCTCACAAATGATATGGCGGGACTACCTCACAAATGATATGGCGGGACTACCTCACAAATGATATGGCGGGACTACCTCACCAATCATATGGCGGGACTACCTCACCAATCATATGGCGGGACTACCTCACCAATCATATGGCGGGACTACCTCACCAATCATATGGCGGGACTACCTCACCAATCCTATAGCAGGATCAGCTCACCTATATTTTTCGGGACTATCTCACAAATTATAAAGATTGTTGGGGAAAATTGTATCCACATAAATGAAAGCATGTCAACATAAATGACAGCAAATCAACATAAATGACAGCATATCAACAGACGGAACAACTCGACCTTGTTGCAAGTCAACCATCCTAATGAAGAGTACAGACCGGCGGTCCCCCCAAATGGTGGTCCGTGGAACGGAATCGGTCCAGGAGCCTTAAGGTAAGGGACCGGTCATAAAACATGAACATTGTACGGTCGAATAAAAAGATAATATCAATAATAAAATCCCAGAGCACGTTTATTTAAAACATGTCCGCGGGTCCGCCAATATTAAGACATGTTAAAACGCTTCTACAGACAATGTTTTATCATGGGACTTTTATGACGTAACGTCAAGCATCGAAGGAGAAAAAAAAAGCGATGGTTATCTGCTCTTTGAAGATCAACCAATTAAAAACAGATGCATTATGGATAACACGCTTACTAAGTGGACGTCCAAGTACCAACCCCATATCTGGCCACCCACGCCATCTAGGACTCTGTTGATGACCAGTCCTTGAGAAGTGGACAGCTGCCGACAACTCGGCCAGAGATCGAATGTTTCAACAGGAGTTATCCCCCAGCCCCACTAAAAGAATTATTTACACCAATATGTGGCGACCCATTCTGGCAAGTGGGACCGTGGGCGACCCATCCTGGCAAGTGGGACCGTGCGGAAGTCGGGGTTTATTTTGTCATCTTTTAGTCTTAGAAGTAGGACAAGTAGGACATTTAGGACAAGTTGAAACTCTGTGGTCATGAAACCATGAGTGTCCTTTTCAAACTTGCTTTATCGATCGAGAATGAGGAAGTCTAGGATGGAGAAGTAAAGATGGAGAGGTCAAGGATGGAGAGGTCAGGAATGGAGATGTCAAGGATGGAGAGGTCAAGAATAGAGTTTAAGGATGGAGAGGTCAAAGATGGAGAGGTCACGGGTGGAGAGGTTAAGGATTGAGATGTTAAGATGGAGAGGTCATGGATTGAGAGGTCAAGGATGGAGAGGTCAAGGTCCAAAATAGAGATTTCAAGGGTTGCGTGGTCGAGGATTGCAAGTTGGAGAGGTCAAGAATGAAGAGATTTAGGGTGGATAGGTCAAGGATGGGGAGGTTAAGGATGAAGAGGTCTTGTATGGAGAGGTAAATGATTGAGAGCTAAAGGAAACAAAATTAGTCTGTCTTTTTTTTTTTTCCAAAATCGCTCTATCAATCAGACGTGAGAATAGGGGCTTAGATAAGTGTTTGTAGCTTGAGGTGTAGGAACAATGGACAACAGATAACTCTCCAGTTAGTGGCAGATAACTCTCCAGTCAGTGGCAGATAACTCTCAGTCAGTGGCCGATAGCGCTCCAGTTAGTGGCAGATAACTCTCCAGTCAGTGGCCGATAACTCTCCAGTTAGTGGCAGATAACTCTCAATCAGTGGCCGATAACGCTCCAGTTAGTGGCAGATAACTCTCCAGTCAGTAGCAGATAACTCTCCAGTTAGTGGCAGATAACTCTCCAGTCAGTCGTTGAAGGAGTTCAAAAGAGATCCTGACAAGATGAAGAAACAATAGGTTCAAAGGTTTATTGAAAGATATTTGTTTTCCCGTCTCTCTTGGTTATTTCCCTTGAACTGTCGATGAAAAAATCGATCAGTTTAATATATGTTATAATTTCTATGGGAACTTTCAAAATAAAATTATAACATCAATCAAAATTATGGATTGACTGATGATATTCAGGTGCTCCAAGGGGGTAGGTGGTGTAGCTAGGTGTGGTTTGATCATGGTGTAAATAGGTGTAGCTAGGTGTGGTTGATCATGGTGTAAATAGGTGTAGCTAGGTGTGGTTGATCATGGTGCAAATAGGTGTAGCTAGGTGTGGTTGATCATGGTGTAAGTAGGTGTAGCTAGGTGTGGTTGATCATGGTGTAAGTAGGTGTAGCTAGGTGTGGTTGATCATGGTGTAAATAGGTGTTGCTAGGTGTGGTTGATCATGGTGTAAATAGGTGTAGCTAGGTGTGGTTGATCATGGTGTAAATAGGTGTAGCTAGGTGTGGTTGATCATGGTGTAAATAGGTCTAGCTAGGTGCGGTTGATCATGGTGTAAATAGGTGTAACTAGGTGTGGTTGATCATGGTGTAAATAGGTGTAGCTAGGTGTGGTTGATCATGGTGTAAGTAGGTGTAGCTAGGTGTGGTTGATCATGGTGTAAGTAGGTGTAGCTAGGTGTGGTTTATCATGGTGTAAGTAGGTGTAGCTAAGCGCAGTTGGTTCTGCGTGTGTAGCTTCATGAGGCTAGCAGAGTCAAGGCTCAGCTTCACAAGAGGATGTAACTATAGTTATTGCTAAGTAACAAACACGTGCATTGTGTTTTCAAATGATCATCCACCATAGAAGCATGACTTATAAAATAGGGATAAGTATTATTGATAAATTGTATGACGTATTCATGCTTTACAAAAAAATAAAGTAATAGCATAATATGAAATGTAATGGATTCCATGGCGAGCTAGATAAAAATTTAAAAAATTCAAAGAATTGAGTTTTTCTTTTAATTTAAACCAAAAAAAAAAAAAATTAAAGGGCGCATACAAGTTGTGCACGCAGTGGCGTAGCTAGGGGAGGGGGGGGGCAAATTCGAAAGTCCCCCGGGCCCCTACTTGAGGGGGGCCCCCAAAGGCGTGTCCGAATTATTATTTTACATTAAATAATGTCGAATGTCAAAATGCAGGGGCCCCTTAAGAGGCCAAGCCCCCGGGCCCCCAAATCCCTAGCTACGCCACTGTGTGCACGTTACAGCTAATATAATTAAAATTGAAAGCGTGTGTGTTTTCTTTAAATGTTCTAAATGAAAACTGCTTTTTTAACTAGCAACTCTCCCGTCGCTCTCCGATTAAGTGTAGAGTGATGGAAAACTCAAATCAGGTATGTGGTAAAAACATTTTTGCATTTTGAAAATAATACCAGAGAAAATTGAGGGCTATATAGATTTAAGGGGTGAGACTAGGCTATAGATTTAAGGGGTGAGACTAGGCTATAGATTTAAGGGGTGAGACTAGGCTATAGATTTAAGGGGTGAGACTAGGCTATAGATTTAAGGGGTGAGACTAGGCTATAGATTTAAGGGGTAAGACTAGGCTAGGGCAAAAAAAAAGCATACAGTTAAGGGCGCTAAAACTGGATTTAATTTAGTTTATGCTGGTCGGGGTGGAGATTATATGGCTAAATTTTGGCGCTTCCCGCCCGAAAGTCTGAAATGTCACCTCCAAAATTGTCTGAAAGAGACATCGATTATCAAGTTTCCACAAAATGCCTCACTGCATATTGAAATTATCAAACAGTGTCTTTTAGAGAACCCCTGGCCCCGTTTTTGCTCCTGAGTCTTCAGCACCTTCAATCTCTGCCCCCCCCCCCATTTTTTTACCTTATGCCCGTGTCAGTGTGAAAGTAGGAGATTTTATCTAAGTTGGTGCCAAATGATTACCTTAGGGGGCGCCCCAAACGGAGTAAAAATCATTTTGCGTATGCCGTGGGGTGCCATAGTCCCCCCCCCTCCTTTCACTCTTCCCCCAAGACGCTTGAACGATTCCTTCCCCCGATCATACCGTCTAATAAAAAAAAATTGAATTCAAGTATAGTTCAAAATGGACCCCCATGATTTTCAAATAATCAAAACTATTCTGGGGAGGGGCTCTTCAGACCACACTTCACTCAAGAGCGATCGATTTCCTTAATGTGTGCCCTACCTCCCGTAAACATTGACAGTACAGCTGGTACTGGTGACCAATTTTGCTGCAGGTAGAAACACTGTCTGGTGGAGTAGCGAGTGTTAGTGCCACCCTGGGGAGGGGGGGCAAGATTCATACGGCACTCCATTTAACAATGCCAACTCGGCAGTTTTCCTGAAATGCACCACCTCCAGATAAAGAAACGTGACACCTGGGCGGACCGCCTCATCCGCCCCCCCCCCTTTTTTTTGCAGAGGCGTACCTAGAGTGTTTGGCTTCATCTTTACGCCCCTACCCTTCAAACCATTTTTTTCACCCCTTTAACACCATCACACTCCATTTTGGCGCCCCCCGCCAGTCCATTGCACGGATAAATCTATCCTCCCTCTACACCCCTCGGGCCACCGCCCAATTTAAAATCTGACCCCCCACCCCACCCCCACCCCGCAGGAATTGTCTGAAAGAAACACTGGGAACGTGTCTGTGTCTCTCTGCCTGTGTGTATCAGTTTATCCCTGTGTGCCTGTGTGTGCGTTTGTGTCTGCGCTTGTATGTGGTGTGTTTTTTCGTAGCTATTCAAATTTCTCCTATCGACTATTTCCCCAAAAGCCCACTAGATTTGTTCAGTATTAGGCTCGTGTGGACAAACGATAGACATTAAAAACCTTAAAGCCTTCAGACTTTCACAAGAGGTGCGAGCCGTAGTAATAAAATCAACGTTAATTATCAGCAGTTCACTGTACTATTAACTCCAACCAGCAGTGCACTGCACCATCCACTCCCACCAGCATTGCACTGAACCATTCACTCCCACTAGCAGTGCACTGCACCATTCAGTCCCACCCTCATTGCACTACAGCCATGGTATGAATTAGTGGATTTAAAGAGGGTTTAGCCTACATGAAACTTGCCCTATAAAAAAGAATGGATAAATATCCTAGGTGTTCGTGGTAGAGACCGACCGAATTTCGGCTTCAGTTTCGGCGCCGAAAGTTGCCATTTCATCACTTTTGACCTAGTTTCGGTTTCGGCCGAAACTAAAAAGCTAACTTTCGGCTTAATTTTGGTTTCGGCCGAAACGAAAAAGTTAACTTTTGGTTTAATTTCGGTTTCGATCGAAAGCGATTGAGCCTTTCGGCCATCTGCCAGAAATCAGACTTTCTGTCTGCCGGCAATCCGATATTCATTATTGCTCGACGTCTTGCTGTAATCATATTTTATATGATTAATACTATTTGAAAATTGGTCACAGCTGCTTGATGACTTAAATTGTCTAATATTTCCAAACTAATAAAAATTTCATTTAGGCCTAGGCAAATGTAAAAAAGTTTTGAGGAAGAAAAAACTAATGAAATGGTAATATGTATATCATTATTTTTGTTTTAATTTTTTCTCTTAATAAAATTTGGAACCCTAGGTTAATTCAATTCGTTCATTTGTGAAATTCATTTTGATTTATCATTATCATGCTAATCAATGTTGTCATAGGGCAAAGGTGAATATTATTGAATAATCCTAGGAATTGGTAATATTTCCATTAATATTTGTGCTTTATTTTTTTTAAAGATTAAGGAAACTTAGGCTTTTAAAAATTCTTGAAATTTCTTGTTCATTTCTTAAAATTCATCATAATCACGCTCATGAACATTGGTATTGACGAAATACCCGCGTGTGCGTGTATCCCGGGTTTGTATTATAATGATGTAGTAGGCCTACTGCAAACCTGTTTACTTTTGGGATTTTTGCGACAGTTGACATAATCTTTTTCGAATCTCCGCCGAGAGCCGTCAGAACAACAATTTTAAGAGACCTGGTTAAAAAAATAAATTCCCCTACCAATGGGGGGGGGGGCTGAGGGAGGTTAGTTGCCGAACGAAATAATTACGTCACCAGCATGGCAAGACTAATGTGTTATTACTAGGTTAAATATTAATACAGGGATATCTTGCCAGCTATTTATGAAAATACAAAGCATTAGTATGGCGATAACCGGGAAACATTGTTATGATATTTTTTATCTCCTTAATTAATGATATTTAGGTGACTATTGACTCTATTGGAGCCAAAATAATTAGTTTTGGTAGCATCAGGTATATTGTATAGGTTGTAATTATAGTATAAAAGCAAAGCGCCTTCACGAGTCAATTTTTGATGAATTTTGCCACGCTCTCTCCCCCTTCCTGTCCTAATTTTCTCTTACCATACATCTATTTTTAAAAAAATTAAATTACTTTAAAATTAAAATGGCAAATTAGATGTTTATTAATATTCAGGATGATCTGATTTTTTTTTAAATAATGTAAATATTGATACTTTTCCTCATCGATGTATGTAGAATGTATGCATGAACAAGTTTCAAAATATATAAATATTTTGGTTTCGGCTTCGGTTTCGGCCGAAAGTCACTTTAAGCTTTCAGCTTCGGTCGAAAGTCATTTTTAACTTTCGGCCTAGTTTCGGCTTCGGTCGAAATCAGAATATCACTTTCGTTCGTTCTCTATTTTATAGATCACACAATTCCTTAATGACAAATTCATCTCTTAAGAGTGGCCACATCCATCAGGTAACATAAAAAAAATCAACACCCCCACCCACCTCTTTTTTCTTCAAGAAATGATAATTTAATAGCTGCCCCTGTGTTCTAAAATATTTTTTCACCAAAATTGTCACCAACAATTCTCAGCAACAGTCTCACCAACAATTATTACCAAAATTATCACCAAAATTGTCACTAACAATTCTCAGCAACAGTCTCACCAACAATTATTACCAAAATTATCACCAAAATTGTCACTAACAATTCTCAGCAACAGTCTCACCAACAATTATTACCAAAATTATCACCAAAATTGTCACCAAAAATTCTCAGCAACAGTCTCACCAACAATTATTACCAAAATTATCACCAAAATTGTCACTAACAATTCTCAGCAACAGTCTCACCAACAATTATTACCAAAATTATCACCAAAATTGTCACCAACAATTCTCAGCAACAGTCTCACCAACAATTATTACCAAAATTATCACCAAAATTGTCACCAACAATTCTCAGCAACAGTCTCACCAACAATTATTACCAAAATTATCACCAAAATTCTCAACAAGGAGAGGAAAGCGCAGCACTGTGATGAGTGGAAAATTCTTGTAGACGGCCTAATGGCCCAGACGGGGTAGAAAGGCATATGTAAGTAAGTCTCACAACAATTCTCACCTAAATTCTCACCTAAATTCTCACCTAGATTCTCACCTAGTTCCGTTCTCTCCCCAGGCTGCTATGTGCAAACGTGCGCCGCAGAGTTCATCCAGTGCGCCCAGGGGTCTCGGACTTTCTCAGTGTACTCCGAGTGCAAGGCCAGGCACCACCTGTGCTCGCTCCAGTGCTGGGTGGACTTGACAGAGTCCAAGTTCGTCTGACTGACATCATAGGGCGACGTCACGTCACGAGTGCCGTGCACTGCGCATGACGGCATGGGAGGGGCGTGGCTTCCATGACGTCACGCCGGAATCCGATGTTCGACGTCCCCAACCAAAATGGTCGACTAAGCAGAGCTATATTTACCGCAGATTCTCAAATCCAAAAAGTTTAGTGGTGACAGAAAAGGATTATTTCAATTTCTTGGATCGTCAGACTTTATTTTTCAGAAACATTTCTCAATTTTCTGGTGTTTTTTTTGTTGGTTTTTTTTTTCAATTTTCTCTGCAGGATTTCAACAACATTTCTGAAAGTTATTAAATCGTGATTACAATGTGACAGTTACAGCGGTTCTTAAACTATAAAATGAGATTATCAAGACCTTGACGATAGAAGAATAAAATGGTACCATATTACACATTATATGAAGGTAAATGAAAATATGCAAATGTCATAACTGAGATTAGTGCATTACTAGTGAAAAAAAAAAGTGATGAGGTGGTGAGACAATAGAACCGTTCATTGAGTATAGGTAAACTATTCCTGTCTAGTTAGTCATTGGTACACTTCACTTTGGTAACTTATCTAACATGATCCACATCGAACCCAAGTTTAAGAACCGCTAGAGGTGTCCCCTATGATAGAAAATTGTCAAATATTCCATTAGAAGATTGCTACACTATTTTTGGTCCCATAACAGTATCGATACCAACATATATTGTGTAGTCAGTGTTTTCCAGCTGTGTTTTGCTTGTGTGAATGCAGTAGTCGAGGCTTCGGACATTTATTGTATCGATACTTTATTGTTATTTTTGCCATGTGTTTATTTTCTTTATATAGGTTATACCCTCTTTTGTTAAAAAAAATAGTTCATTTAAAAGTCATGACCTTGACCTAGTAAACACAAAACTAGGTGACTTAACTTTTCCTGTTTCTAAATTATTAAAACAATCCATGCATCCACATATCCTCCTCATATATATATATACATCCATATCTCCTCATATCGTCATATCCATATACCCACATTTCCGCACATCCACATATCCTAAGTTCTTGCTTTATCCCTACAACATATAAAACAATCCATGGATTTTTTTTCTCAAAACTTGGATGATTAAATGGATCACTTTCCTTTCTATCTTCATTTATATTCTGAGTTGCGTGGAGAAATTCAGACCGACACAACGTCAGTGGGATCAACAACTTACAACATATTACCAGAAGAAAATTAGGTAATGTTGAGAGCATAAAGTAATGTTGAGATAATAAGGTGATGTTAAGAGGATAAAGTAATGTTGAGACAATCAGAACAATACTGGCGGTGGTATATAAGGGAAAATAGATTTTTAACAAAAAAATGCATGATAAATCTAGATCTATGCTATGAGAAGTCAATTGCATATGAAATATAAATTTATGCAAAGACATTGACATCAGACAAATAAATGTCTGAGAAGACAATAAATTTAGACGTACTGATCTATGAGCACACAGCTACATCAGACCAATAAAGCTATGGTCAAGAATTTTCATTTAGAATCAGGTCATAGCCGAGCCAATGTGAGCCAGTTGTCCGATACTTTGTGATATCATCCTGTTGTTCCCATGGCAACGAGCTTGGTGTATCTACAGTCATTATTTTATCTGCCTGGGAAAAAAAAGGGGGGGGGGGAGGAGGGAGATAACCTGATTCATTACCTGACCACCAAAACAATAACTAGCTTCCCATACAGCCCACAACTCTCCTGACACCACCCCATATAACCCGACTCCTCATCACCTTACACCCCTTTACATCACCTTATACCACATCATCTTTTTACCACGCCTCATCACCTTACACCACCCCTCATCACCTTACACCACGCCTCATCACATTACACCAATCCACATCACCTTACACCACGCCTCATCACCTTACCCCACCCCTCATCACCTTACACCAATCCACACCCATCAGATCATCCACAATTTAAAAACTAAAAACGTAAATATTTTTTTTTCATAAATTAAACTTGGCAGCAAAAAGTAAACAAATATGGCGAGCGTCAAACCGGAAGTGAACTCAACTAATTTTTTTTTTTAAATAGACCATTTCTCCTGAAGCTTTCTATCCCTGTGGTGGGTGCCGTCGAACAGATTCATCAGTTTCAGGCCAGGCGAGACGAGTGATAAATGGTCTGAGATTGTAGATGTTAGACGCCATTCATACAATCGAACCGCCTGAAATGAATTAGAACTTAATGTATCGGTCTGGCAGGCACTTAAGACTACAGACATACAAGACTACAGACATAGAAGACAACAGACATACGGATACAATCATTTTTTACTACCGAAATTGTTTCATCTAATGAGGTCCGTCTTGTTTTCTCACCTCCATTAGACGAACGACCATGGCCTTTTATTACATAACAACCTGGGCCCTCCATAATCCGATCCGACCAACCTGGGATCTCTATTAAACGACCAACATGAGCCCTCTATTAAACGACCAACCTGGGCCCTCTATTAAACGACCAACCTGGGCCCTCTATTAAACGACCAACAGGGGCCCTTTATTAAACGACCAACCCGGGCCCTCCATTAAACGACCAACCTGGGCCCTCTACTACACGACCAACCTGGGCCCTCTCTAACACGATCAATCTGGCCCTCTGTTACACGACCTCCCTGGTCAGTCCATAAGTTGACCAATCCGAGGCCCTTCATCCAAATAGTATGCAAGAAATAAATGAGGCATTGTGTATAGGGGCAATGAGGCATTGGTGCATAGTACCATTGAGACATTGAGGCATAGGGGCAATGAGGTATTGGTGCATAGTTCCATTGAGGCACTGGTGCATAGGGGCAATGAGGCATTGGTGCATAGGGGCAATGAGGCGTTGGTGCATAGTACCATTGAGACATTGAGGCATAGGGGCAATGAGGTATTGGTGCATAGTTACATTGAGGCACTGGTGCATAGGGGCATTGGTAAATAGGGGCAATGAGGAATTGGTGCATAGTTCCATTGAGGCACTGGTGCATAGGGGCATTGGTAAATAGGGGCAATGAGGAATTGAGTCAAGGGCTCTTCATATCAAGGACCAAGCAAAGCCATTAATTTACTTAAACAAGGCACATTATAAGTTGTTACTTTTGGCACCCTCTTTGGAACCCTCTTTCGAACTATGGCCCCCGTATGTGGTCCCCGTATGTGACCCTCGTATGTTTTAAGCCAGCAGTGTCAGGAAGTGTGTCTCATTGTGTTAAGACATCAATGTCATGAAATGTGTCTCATTGTGTTAAGAAATCAAAGTCATGAAATGTGTCTGATTGTGTGAAGACATCAAAGTCATGAAATGTGTCTGATTGTGTGAAGACATCAAAGTCATGAAATGTGTCTCATTGTGTGAAGACATCAAAGTCATGAAATGTGTCTCATTGTGTGAAGACATCAATGTCATGAAATGTGTCTCATTGTGTGAAGACATCAAAGTCATGAAATGTGTCTCATTGTGCGAAGACATCAAAGTCATGAAATGTGTCTCATTGTGTGAAGACATCAATGTGTCAGCCACCTAAGGCCTGACATAAATATGTGCAAGACTTCCCCGCTCAAATGGTCAATGAGCCAAGCCCCAAGCTGCTAACGCAATTTTTTTTTAATTGTTCGTACGTTTCCTACGAGAAACGTCTACAGTACGTGCGTAGGGCAAATTTCTGCGGCTCTCCTAAGGATTCAGTTCATTACCAGGTGACAGAAATATATCTGGTAAACAAGAGTTGTAGCTGCGGTGTGATAATTGATGTGAGTTCGGCTTTGTTTATTTTTCACGTAGTCGAGTTTCATTCTTGTGAAAACGCTCCAATGAACCACCACCACCACCCCACCACCTCCATCCCCCAAAGCCCCATTCACAAAAAACGCAGGCTGTGAGGAAACGACTGTACTCCCCACCTCCAACCCTCAACCCCCCCTCCCCACCTCGCCCTACCCCCAGGCCTCTTACTAAACGTTGTAAGAGATTGATTAGGCTTGACCGGAAAACCGGGTCGGTTGATTTACGGACAGGCCGAAGGGTGCCAACAACAGCATGCCATTCATCTACAAGACGAGCACACTGTGGGGGGTGCAGTAGAGCGTTGTGAGAATACACTGTGGGGTCCAGTAGTGCACTGTGAGAACACGCTGTGGGGTCTGGTGGTGTATTGTGAGAATACACTGTGGGGGTGCAGTAGTGCGTTGTGAGAATACACTGTGGGGTCCAGTAGTGTTGTGTGAGAACTCCCTGTGGGGTCCAGTGGTGCGTTGTAAGAATACACTGTGGGTTCCAGTAGTGCGTTGTGAGAATACACTGTGGAATCTAGTGGTGCATTATGAGAATACTTTGTTTTGTCTGGAAGTGAATTGTAATAGCGCATTGCTTGAGTGCACTGTGAGAGCACTTTGTGGTGCACACAACACACCAACGAAAGTGCGAAAAAGATGTATTACTCTAGGAACAAATGTTATGGCGTTCAAGGTCAAGGTCAGAATGGTCAAGATCAGACTAGTCAAAGTCAGAATAGTCCAGGTCAGAATAGTGAAAGTCAGAATAGTCCAGGTCAGAATAGTCAAAGTCAGAATTGTCAAGGTCAGAATAGTTCAATCGTGTCAAATTTTGGAGATGTGTGTGTGTGGTCAGAACATGCCCCAGGCCAGGGGCCTGGAGGCTGCGCGCATTCATATATCCTGGGGTAAACAGGTCGGCAACAAAACAAGTATATCTAAATACCATAAATTTATATTGAACATGATTTTTAAAAACAAGACCCACGGCAGCCAGGAGGTCTCCGCACGTGTGAAGATCTCCTAGTATTCTAAACATAATAGTGAAATTTAAATACGTTTTATCAAGCAAATTTCAAGTACGGTCAGCGGGCCGATAAACTGACGTGGCGGGCCCTAGTTTGGTGACCCCTGATCGACCTCATTTAGATAAAAAACAAATAATATTTGGCTCTTTGATACGAAACTGTTCCCAAATCCTGGTCTACGGCGTCCAGTGAATGTGCTTCTGTATGTGGGTGTGGGGGTCATGAAAGGGGTCGTGATGAAAGGGGCTCGTGGGGTCTGCGCCCTCAAGGTCAACTATTCTTTAAGAATCGATGTTATGATATTTGTAACATGCGATCTGCTAGTGGTCCTTGGTAG